TTGTCTCATATGGGGCTGAAATGGATACGTCCACACCCACATTAGGTTTGATAACTTTTCCTTAGGTGGATATTTTTACTTATTTACACTGAGGTTCATTAGCCACTAGTTTGCTCACTTATTCACTCTTGTGAAGTCCTCCTCTGATTTATCCATATTGAGTTAGAACGGAGTGGAAAATTCTATACTATCAGGAACTGCTTTTGATCTTTCCTGGATATGAAAGCTTAGTTTAGAGAAGGAGAGCTGATGGCACAGTATGAGTAGCTTTCAGCAGCCTTGGCCTAAACAGCTGAGTCTACCATGAAGCATATATTAGGCTGTGTTGCTCCATCTGTGCTTCTTTAGGATCAGCTCTATCCACATTCTTAGCACGGTCAGCTGTAGATGCATTGATCGTGGCTGTTAGGATTTGATCAGTTACCCAAGGCATTCAGACATAAAAAACTGGAATTCAGAATAGAAGTTTCAGGGAAAGGGATTTTGGTGTTCACTTTTTACTCTTTGACAGAAAAAAAAATGTGAGGGAATGTGAGCCTTATGCAAATAATAGTAAGAGAACTCTTCATATATAAGAATGAGCTCTAAGGCACCCCACATAGCCAAAGGAGTCTTGAAAAAGAACAAAGTTGGAGATCTCACATTTCCTGATTTCCAAACATACTACAAAGCAACAGTAATGAAGATGGTATGGTACTGGCAAAAAGATATATAGACCAATAGAATAGAATAGAATAGAGAACCCAGATATAAACCCTTGCATATATGGGCAAACAATTTAGACAAGGACGCCACAACTACACAAAGAGGCAGTCTTTTCAACAAATGCTGCTGGGAAAACTGAACATCCACATGCAAAAGATTGAAGTTAGATCCTTATCTTACACCATATACAAAAATTCATCTCAAAATGGATTAAAGAGCTAAACATAAGACCTAAAACTATAAAAGTCCTAGAAGAAAATGAAGGGGAAAATCTTTAAGATACTAGATTTAGCAATGATTTATTGGGTATGACACCAAAAGCACAGGCAGCAAAAATAAAAATAGACAAAGAAGTCTACATTAATTTTAAGAACTTCTGTGTATCAGAGGAAACAATCAACAGAATGAAATGCAACCTATGGAATGGGAGGAAATCTTTGCAAGTCATATATCTGCTAAGGGGTTAATATCTAGAATATATAACGAGCGTCTACAATTCAGCAACAAAAAACAAAAAACAAATTATTTGGTCAAAAAATGGACAAAGTATAGTTCTTTAAAGAAGATATACAAATGGCAAAAAAAAAAACCATGAAAAGATGCCCAACATTACTAATTGTAAGAGAAATACAATTAAAACTACAATGAGATATCATCTCACACCCATTAGGATGATGACTATCAAAAGAATAGAAAATAACAAAGTGTTGGTGAAGATAAGAGAAATTGGAACCCTTGTGCACTGTTGGTGGAGGTATAAAAAAACTGCAGCTGTTATGGATAACAGAATAGAGGTTCCCCCCAAAATAAAAAATAGACTTAACATATGATCCAGCAATCCCACTTCCGAGTATATATCCAAAAGAATTTAAAGCAGGATCTCATAGAGAAAGTTGCACACTCACATTCATTGCAACATTATTCACAATAGCCAAGAGGTGGAAGCAACCCAGATGTCCAACAACAGAAAAATGGATAAACAAAATATGGTATGTACTTAACAGTGGAATATTATGCAGTCTTTAAAAAGAAGGAAATCTGTCATGTGTTACAACATGGATGAACCCTGAGGACATCACGCTAAATGAAACAAGCCAGTCACAAAAGAACAAATACTGTATGATTTGACTCAAAAGTGTCTAAGGGAGTCAAAATTATAGAAACAGAGTAGAAAATTGTTTGCCAAGGGCTCAGAAGAGAAGGGAAGGGGAAATTAGTGTTTAATGGGAATAGAGTTTCAGTTTTGAAAGGTGAAAAAATTCTAGAGATCTGTTATACAACAACGTGAATATACTTAACACTACTGCACTTTATATGTAAAAATGGTTAAGACAGTAAATTTAATGTTGCATTTTTTAACACACACATGCACACACACACACAGAGAATTAGCTGTGCAAAGTATAGTTTCTAAAAAAGTACCAGTCAAATGTGTACATGAGCGAATCTTCTAATTGTGTTCTAATACATGTAATTCTGGAGTTGGTAATTCTATTATAATTCACATCTGATTGGTCAAGTCTTTATGGCCAATGAGTAGTATGGACTGAGAAATTATATATTAATTACTAGACAAACATTTTAGGGGTTTTACGCTAAATCTATCATTGTCCTTAAAAAGAGAGCTTTGGTTTGTAGGGACAAAATTTAGTGGCAGATGAAACTAAAGTGAGAATGATTTTTCACATCTTGGTGTGACAATCCCAGTTGGTTCCTGGGTGAACTTCATTCTGTTTTGCCTGACATCGAGATTTCAATGTACATGGCTCATTAGTACTTGTAGGCATTTCTATAATGGCAATTTATTACACTTTCAGGTGACAGAATCTGTCCTTTGAAGAATTGCTTTCTGACCTCCTCCTCTTTCAACCCACAACACCTGCCAAATGAAGTGGCCTGCTTTTTTTTCCTGTCCCCATGCAGACACTGGAAGTTTTTGTGTGCAGGAGAGCAGGGCTGAAAAGCTTTGGCAGGAAGGTTTTTGCAGCAGTCTGCCTGACGAACTGCATGGATCAACAATTTCTCAATTAGAAGAAGATAGACGAGAAGATAAAGTAGGTGGTGGCTGTAAAGCTTGAAGCAGCAGCTGAGGAAGATTTTGAGAACATCTGGTTGGAATCTATTTCTTTTTAGGTAAGCATTCCTTTTTACAACCAGCATCATAAAGCATGAAATTGGCTTACCCTGCCTCCTCCTAACAAGGGAGAAGCTGGTTAGATTTATTACTCCTTTGATACAGGTCTGGAGAGAGTGGGGTAGCATGTGGCATTCCCACTGGAGGTCCTCCCCAACCCCAATCCTTTGGATGCCTCTCAGAGAGAACATTTGTCTGCTATATCAAATTTATTTTTAAAAACCTGTCCAGGTTGGCAGTGTAAGAGATCATTCACAGAAATGAAACCCAATTCACGATATTTCTCTCCCCATCCCCACATGAAATTTACATCCGAGCAAGGGATGCCATCAACACAAAACTTTTCTCTCTTAATTTTAAAAATTGGTTCTTTGTGTATGTGGTTCATTCTCTTGCTTTGTCATTTTAAAATGTCTTTCACTTTGGGCAATAAATACTGATTGAATTGTTTTGTCTGTATCTGGCTTCATTTTTTGTGTTCACAGCATCCCCAAACCACCAAAATGCATTGTTCTTTTCATATGTAAGGCTGTAACTAACAGGTTTCATAATGCACCCCTTTTTTAGAGAATAGCATAGTCAACCAATCAAACCAAATCATAAATTATTTAAATTGTGTGAATAGATTGCAAAAGGAGAAGTGAGTTCAAATTAGGGTCTTCTAGTTCATGGAAAATTTTAAATCCTTATACTAGAAGAGTATGTTTCATTTACTAATAATTGCTTACATGGCATTGTGTTTCTAATATCATCCATGCTAGAATAATTTGAAATCAACCTTACTTTATGACATTACACAAATATATTTATACACATATTTAGCCTGTCACATCCAAAGTGCTTTAAAAGTTCATCTATAATAAACATGCTTTAAACTAACGTACATAAAAGGAAATTTTTCTGACTTGGGATTTTCAGTTTACTGATTCACTTGCCTTGCACCCAAACTAAACATGCCCTTTACTAAACAACCATGCAGTCAGGTAATTTGTATAGATTCCTGTATTTCCCCATTATTTTTTAGCTCTTAAAATAGCTCTTAGTTTCAGTTGTGGCTTACATAAAATTTAGCCTCATAATAAAGAAGGTCTATTATTTATGCAAGGCTTTCTGTAATATAAAGAAAGAAAATGATTAGGAACTTTTTACACTCCAGGAGGGAATGAGATTAGTTGAAGATAGAGCCCTGCAGAGTTAAAACTAGTCAAGAAGCAAAGAAAGGTTTAGCAAATCACAGGAATGTCCACGTACAGCTCATCTATATTGTCATCTTCAGGTATGCTGTACATTTTCATTAAAACAATTAAAATCAAACTGGATTGAAATAACCTGGAGTCTTTAGGTTTCATCCAAAAGACCAACTAGAAATTGAATTAAGGGAAAGGATTAATCTTTTCACCTCTCCTTACTTATCCAGAAGGGAAGAAAACAGCCCCATCTTATGAAGTCACTACACTCAGTTCAGGAGTCACCATTACTGTGAACAAAGTTTCTTTTTCTAACTTTCTACCCCACCTGCCCTTTGGTTATTTCACTGTTCATTAGCACCTCACTAGAAAAGGGAGAGGAAAAAGAAGAGGAGGTGAAATTAAGCATTCAACTTTGTTACTTGGTAACAAAGGTGACAAAGAGGTTCAGGAGAAGTTAAGAGTTAAAAATAGATGTTAAAATTATCAATGTGTTTCAAGGACCCATGCTGGGCATGCCGTTATCAGAACTAATTAAGAGTTAGCCAAGTGACAATGCATTTCTGTGACAGATGTCAGCACTGTCCCCAAGTCCACTCTCTCTGCGACTAGACAAAGTCTGGTCCCTGTATAACCAGTATTTAGGAAAAAAAGAAAAAAGAAAAAAAAAGAAAGAAAGAATGAATCCCTGTTTTATAAAATAAGGGGTTCAAATAACGATTTCTACTATGCAAATGGCTTCAAAATTGTGTTTGTTAAAGATGTATATTGAAAGATAGATAGCATCTAGTTGTGTATTTATCATTTTCACTTTAAGTTAAACTTCAATTAAAAAAGTGAAAAATAAAAGTATGTCCAGGAGAAACAAAAGATGCTGCAGGGTGGTGTGAATTCCAACTCCACAAATCAAGGAGGGCAAAGTCACAGAATGTGAAATAATTCAGGAGTGGTATGGTTCTATCACACCCTCACCTTTTTCTTTCTTTTTATAGAAACCCCAGAAGTTTGCCCCTCAGTCTCTCGGGTAAATGCCCAATTGCTTCTTTAGCTGCAGAAAAGGCAGAAAGAAAAGAAAGGAGAACAAAGGCTCAGAAGACTGACTCTAAGAACCAGACGGTTAATTCAACTGTGAAGTGCAGAGGGGAGACCAAAAGACCATTTGGGGAAGATCATTTTAGGGCTCCTAGGACTGAGGAAATCAGGTGGTACCACTTTAAATGTGTAACTATGAGTGAGTCATTGGAGAGCTACTTTCCGTAAGTTTGGGAATCAAAGAAAAAAGTTGTCCCGCTGCAGATTACTCCATTCCCTGCAGGGCTAAACTGCAGATTATGGCTTCGGAGCCGGGCTGTCCTTGTTGGAGGGCACAATGCACCATAGATTTTTATTTTCACGAAAAAGACTCCAGAGGTTTGTGGCCTTCCAGACAGCAGCTGGCGCCGGGCAGAGGCATCGCTTCGGGCCGGAGCTGCTGGCGACCGCGCGACGCTTGGCTGTGCGTCCCAGGCAGTCGGGCCAGCGCCGCAGCCACAGCCTCGCGTTCCGAGCAGACGCTGTTCCCTTCTGGAAGGGCTCTGGGGGCTCGCGACTGACTGCTCCTCAGCAAATTAGAGGGAAGAGGAGCTGGTTTGAAGGAAAGGAGGGAGTAGGTTTGGAAAAGGGTTGGCTCCTCCTTATAACTCGGATGCCTGAAGTGGGTGAGGTAGATAGTGGCCAAATAAATGGAAGGGAGAGGATCCCATTTGGAGTGACGAGGATTTCTGGATGAGCCGACGATGTGTCCTGCAACTGTCGAGTTGGCAGGAGATTTGACTCTATCAACTGCTGTTTGGTTCCCACTTCAAACGCACCTCCCCCCAGCTTGTGTTCTGACCGACTCCGGAGACTTGGGCTGGGTGCGAGCAGAGCAAGAAAGAATCAAAAGTCAGCCTTCCTTTGGTCTCTGCTTGTGGCAGATGCACAGCTGGCTTGATTCTGAGCAGGTTGGTGTCTGAGGGGAGGCCAGAGCTGCTTCGCCTCTTTCGGCGGGGTTTGGGTGTGCGTGGTGTGGGTGGGGGTGGGTAGGAAGAGGTGGGGAGCAGAGTTGGGCGGGAGGATTGAGCAGAGCCCCCTACGTCGCGTCTCAGATGCCCTTCCAGCCCCCAGTGTCCAGCCACTGCCTCGCCGCCTCCGGGACGCTTGTGGAGAGGAGGGGTGAAGAGGGCGCGGGGGTGGGGGGCGCCCAGCAGCGCGAGCCCGTGGTGGCGGCGGGGCTGTCTCTTTAAGCGCTCCAGAGGGGCCGGGCCCGGAGGGCTGCGAGCGCGTTTCCATGGCACCAAGGCTGCGGGGGCTGCGGGGCCGTGGGGATCGCAGGTTTCCAGTCGCTCCCGAAGGAGCTAGGGTGCGCATCTCGCCGGCCCAGGCGCCTCGGGGGCTGGCCCGGCCTCAGCGCCCGAG